TCATTGTGAGGACTTAACTGCCCATAAGACAACCGCAGTGGGATAGTCACGGGCACCCCAAGTTAACATATTCAAAATCCAGTTCATTATTGTGACACGGTTGTGTGCTGGGTATAGCAGCACCTAGGACAGTTGTGATCCCTGCACTTATGAAACTTATGTGGCATTGTGAGGAGTCAGTTAGGGAGACAGATATGAAACAATTATAGTGTGACTAATTGGACATGGCAACTGCCCTAGGCAGAATGGAGCACTAAGAAAGGATAGAAGGATAATTGCTTACCTTGTTTGATGGTCAGGGAAGGCTTTTCAGGAGATCAGATGAGAAGTAGCTTCTTAGGCAAGAGATAGGTAGAAAGGTGGAGAAGGACTGCTCTGGGAGAGGAATGAGAATTGTGATGGAGAAAATTATCATGGCATGCTCAGGGAACTGAAAGAATTTGAGAATGTTAACAGAGAGAAACAGAGATGAGCTCTTTGAGGGGGGTCAGGGTCTGATTATGCTGGGTCTTGTAAGGTATTTTAGTTATTTTGGATTTTTTCTTGAGCTGTGGGAAACCTCTGAAGGAATTTAAGAGGAAGAGATCATTCTAGAGAATGGACTACACTAAGCTCAGAAGTGAGGAGATGGCTTCTATTCTACTGGAGTAAAGAGACGCAGTAGTAGTTGTCCAGATGGGGATGATCTTTTGAGTGGGGTGGTAATGGTAGAAATGGAGTGAAGTGGTGGGTTCAAGAGAAGTTTAAGAAGGAAGGTGACCAAGGATCATTTAGGGAGTACTTCTAGGATACTACAGTAAGTGATGCTTACAATAATGATCCCAAGGAACTAATAAAAAATTAATTAACTTTGCAATACTAGGAAGCTATGAAATACATGAAAATACTCTATTAAAATGGAGTAAAATACATAAAAGTGTTTGTTGACTTTTTTCTTACCTGAAAACCCCCTTTACCTAGAACAATTACTTTCCTGTCTGTGCTGGTTGTTAAGATTTTTGTTTTGGTTTGGTTTGGTTTTGTGTGTGTGTGTGTGTGTGTGAGAGACTGGAGTTTGAACTCAGGGCTTTGTGCTTGCAAAGCAGGCACTCTACCACTTGATCCACACCTTCAGTCATATGTGCTGGTTGTTTTGCAAACAAAGGTGCTGGAGACAACATGTATCCATATATGAAATCAAGATATGGAATCAGTACAGAGCACTGACTGACCAGACCCACTCCTGCGGTCCCTGACTCTACCACTCACTCACTGTGGGACCTTGGATAAAAACTAACACTTTACTGTTTTACGAAATTTCTTACAGTAACTTACTTCACTTCATTGTCATAATCACTCTCCACAGCTATGTTAAAAGGTATGTCTTTTTTGTCCTCAAACTACTAATTAATGCTTTATATACCACTTTGGGTATATGATAGGCTTCCTGACTTTTCCTACTTCTTTCCAAGTTCCCCTAATTCCTCCATAATCAAAATGGAAAGAATTTTTGATGTTCTCCTTTGCTATAAGACTTTCACAAGACCCTAATAGATTAAGGGATTGTCTCAATGAGGCATTTGCCTTATAAGCCAGTTATCGTGGAAGAATTTATATTTAAAAACATTTGTAAAGTATTTATACCCAGTAGCAGGTAGGGAAGCCTGAGGGAAAATAGTAAAGTCCATTAAATCCCATTAACACCAATTCATCCTTGAAAAAGTTTTTTCTCTGCCTCATCATTCTATCAATTTTAAAATGTTAAATTCTAATTTGGCCATCAGTTGTTCTTTGTTTCTACTCTAAAGGTGAGTGATGTTCTCAGGGTACTAACCCTTCTGTGTGTAATCAGACCTCTCTTGGGAGCACAAGACCCATTTAGTTAAATGCCTCCTTAACATCTCTGCTTAGAGAACTCTCAGTAACTCCAAACTCAACAAATCTCTTTTGTGTTCCAATAAGACTTTACTTACCAAAACAGTGATCAGGTGGGATTTGGCCCATGGATGTAGTTCATGTAGTTCATGGATGCCTAATAAGATAGGAAGTAGATAGCACCAGTTATAAAGTATTCCTGTCAAAAAAAATGTTGAATAGAATCAAGTCAAAGCTGCAGGTCTAATCACACTTTTTAGGAAATACAAATGATGTGCAAAATCCTGACTGTGGGACATTCTATAGCACAGAGAATCTGTGTTCTCAAGCAAATCAGTGCCTGAAAAGGGGGAAGTGAAAGGGGCTTGGGGGGCAGTGGGGAATTAAATATAATATGTAGACTTGGAATTCCTCATTGTAAAGTTTAACTTTGAGATGGGGAAATTTGAATATTAGATGCTTTTATTTGAATAAACATGTATATAGGTGGTGAGAAGAAATGGATGAAACAATTGACAAAATGTTAATTGTTAAAACTAGATGCTAGGTACATGGAGAGTTACTCTATTGGTTTCTTTAGATTTTGTATGTTTGAAATTTTTCATAGTAAAAATAAAGTTGAATGTATCCTATCAAACTATGTGTGTAGTGGATGGGGTGGGGAAGGTTGGTTGCATAGAAAACTAGGAAAAGCTAAATGAATTTTTTTCATATACCTAGAGGAATTTTTTACTTTTTATTGCTGATGGTATTCATTCTAATAGTACTACTTCCTTTGTTTTCTCAAAGTTCCTTCCACTTGAAAATTAGAGTTCTTATTTTCACATTCTAATTTCAGATGTAACCCTGATTACATGTGCCGCTGATATTCATTACATGTGCCGCTGATATTCATTACATGTGCCACTTAGATTTTGTTTAGGAACATAAATTGAATTACTTTACTAAACTGCTTGGTAATTGCACAAATAAAGACTTTAGATCCTTGGTATCCAGTTTGCTAGCCAATGTGACAGACCTTTTGTTTTAAAACTGTGAACAGGGAAAAACAAACAGGAAATGAATATGAAATAACGATAATTCTTTTTTAAATGACTTAAGGGAAAAGCAAGTCCCACAATTAGTTTGAGATGCAGAGTAGTGAATCAGAACAAATAGCTGCTTACAGGGACAAATCACTGGAATGTGAAAATACATCACTGTAACCTACGTTTTTTTCTCTACCAAGAGATTTGCAGCTGACTATCTGGGTGACTCATTCCTTTGCTTAGAGGGTGAGGTAATGCTATTGTGAGAGGTGATGTCATCTCTACCTGAACTGCATGCATATATATCGCTTCTCAGGCTCTCAAGGAAAAACACCATCTGCTTTCACATGGGCAGCCTGAAAGACTTCACAGAGATTGGTGCAAAGGTCAGCAGCCATGTGTATGACTCATAAGCAGCCAATTAGTGAAGAGCAGCTATTTAAAAGTGAACGTGTAAAATCATAATTCATAAATATGACATAATGATTCAATATGGAATCATAATTCTTTTTGGTTATTGTTTTATGTTTTGCATTCTTGAGTTAATGCTGTTGAAGACTTAACTTTTAAAATAAGGCAGTTTTCTCAATATGATCAATCATCACAAACACTCTTGGTTGTTTAAACCATATTTTTTTTATTGAAGATGTTTTCATTTACTTTTGGAGATGCATAGATCATTCTTAAAAGAGGACATGAATTTTAGTCCACATTAGTTTGACAGTTGCTTTTTGCAGTTAGGAGTCACTGGGTCCCTAAAGATCTGCTACTGCTTCAGGGGAAAAGAGAGTGTTAGTGGAAGAGGAAACAAGTCAAAATAAATGCTCTCTGGTTGCCATAAACCTACTAGCTCTTCCTTTCTTTTAGTGATGCACACTTGCTTTCCCTGTTTGTACTTGACCTAATATTACTACTGAGATGAAAAGACAATTGAAATACCTATTTTTAAAGTTTATCATAATTTGAATCTACTCCTTTAGTAAATAGAATATATAATACCTAACATACTATGGAAGGTCGAGAACAATAAATACTTGATTTTCTAACTGATAAAGTAACTTGAAATAGGAGATCATATTGGCTAAGTACTACATACTGTTACTGTGCAGTATGCATACTGTGACCCAAATTTGTTTTAATGATAACTTCAAGTTGGACATTCTACAAAAGATGAAAAGAAAAGCTTTAACTTTTTAAAAATAATATGTTATTAAGAAATACAACAATGCCAAAAATAAAATAATAATGCTAGAACTCTTAAGATAATGTTAGGTGGGATATATACCAATGTCATTTGAGAAGTTGTTAAAAATCAGGTTTTTTCCATTAAAAGTAAAGATAGAAATCTTTAAGTGCCCAGAGTTATGATGAGCCTTTAATGGTATAGTCTTCTGCATTGAATTATAGAGCTCTCACAAGGCTCTTGAATACCTTTCTTTTCTTTGTAACCTCAAACTGGGAAATAAGTTTAAACTACAAAAAGCTAGAGCAATAAAAATGGTACCAAAAAAGCAGGGAGCCCTTATACACTCAGATTTACCTACCCCAACCTGGTGATTGATGTATCATTTAAATGCACCCACTGTTTTAGCTTTAGTTGCCACAAAAAGCAAAGTACAAGGGCTGGAGGTGTAACTCAGTGAGAGTGCTTGCCCAACTTACTCTACATTTCCCAGTACCCCTTTATCTTGTTCTACTTTTTCTGCTGTGGTATTTGTCACCTAACATGCTATATAATTTACTTATTTATTATGTGGTCTCCTGATAACAGAGTTAAAGCTCCACAAGGAGCTGGTCTCTCCTAACCACCAACACTATACCTCACATATAGGTTGACCCTATGTAAATGTTGTTTAGAGAAGAAAAGATTATGGAGCACATAAAGCCAGGAAGCTTAGTTACCAGATTTCTGACTCATATCAGATTTAAGGAAGAAAATAAAAGGAGAAAAGGTATACTATTTAATCAACATCTCCAAACATGTGTTCCTTGGATCCAAATCTGTGACAGTAATTGAGCTGGGTGAAATAGGCATAGAAAATGCTGCATATGTTATCCATTTACTAGAAAATCATATTGTACATTAGCATATTGGCTATAAGAACTGTAGTAACCCCTTGACGTCACTGGATCCCCAAACTCTCTTTAGCAACTCACCTATCATTGTGGGATGGTCTCGACCCACAACAGAGTTGAAAAAAACCATACTGGATGGTTATGTGTAGGCCCTAGGAGTAATTGGCAGTTCTTTTAAAGTACTTTGGTTGATATGCTACTCAAAAGGAGGCTGGAGTACATTAGACTCAAGACTCTAGCTCTTAGTTACTACTGTTAAAGTTATGAACCTTTTTAAAGTTAGCTTTTGTTTTAGGTATTTGGAAATAAGATGATAATCCCTTCCCTGGACGGAGACCTCTTCCAGTGGGACCGAGACCGTGAGAGCATGGAAACCGTTCCTTTCACTGTTGAATCCCTTCTTGAATCTTCTTATAAATTTGGAGATGATGTTGTTTTGGTTGGAGGAAAATCTCTCACTTCATATGGACTCAGTGCATATAGTGGAAAGGTGAGTGAAAATATTAGATTTATTTGGAGAGATATCAGAATCAATTGGAATAGAGGAAATAATTTCTTAAACCATACTATTAGTCGTCAAGGTTTACTATAATTTCCCCCTAAGAATAGCATTTGTTTTAATAAGAGAACTATGGATCTGACAAAGTGGCTTCAGTGGTAGAGTGCCTGCCTAGCAAGAGCAAAGCCCTGAGTTCAAACCCCAATACCACCAAAAAACAAAAAAAAACAAAGAACTATGAAGTAGATAAGGGAAACTACATTTATGTAAGATAAGAATAAATAGCAAAGCCAGGGAGAGTATGAGGAAGAGAATTAATAAATATGGTTTACTGTGTCATTATTTTGAAATATTTACAATATTCCTAAGAATTGTACATTTTTATTCACATTTAACAAATGAGGAACCTTTAAAGATTAATAATAATCCTGGTGATAAGAATAATTTCCAATCATTTATTTATCATGTTTGAGCCTATAAAAAGATGATCCAAGGGGAAAGCATACATTTATTTTACAGTTGAGAAAACTGAGACTTTAAAAACTTCCATGGTCAGATTTGACTTAGGTCTATCTGATGGCAAAGTAATGACCTAGACTTTCTCCAATATTAGCTTTTGAGACACAATCAAAATATAATCTTCTAAGATTGAGTCTTATAATATAAATCCATTATTATAACTAAAAACATCCTTTTTTAAAAGAAAACTTTTAGGAACTGGTGGAGTGGCTCAAGTGGTAAGAGTGCCTGCCTAGGAACGATGAAGCCCTGAGTTCAAACCCCAGTGCTGCCATAAAAGACAAAACTTTTTAAACCCTTTAATACCTTATTTGTAAACATTTTATAGACTTACTCTAAAGTAAGGAAGAATAGAAACATGACATTTTTATCCATGAGTTTTCAAACTAACCATTCCTCATCTAAGTGCCTTAGCACTTACTGCTCTTGCAGACAATTTCCTGCATCTGCATTGTATTAAGGAGGCTATGCCATCCTGCCTGACCCATTTTTTTTCTAGCAAGCACTTCAATCTCTGTTTACTTCAATACTGTTCTCTGTAAAACAGTAGGATCAAATCTGATTATCTGTTTCTGTTTAGATATGCTGCTACAAAACTCTGGTATTCTAGCAAGTACACTTCTTTTTGTGAGGGTTTTAGTTCAGATCATGCTAGTAGTATTCTTTTTTCTTTTAATGAAGTTTTGAAGGAAGCATCTTAAATTTAAAGCTATTAGAAAAGGTTCAAATTTTTAAAACCACTTAATTGTGAAGTTGATTTTTTTTTTTTTTAACTCACCTGGAATTTTACTGATGACTTTATTGCTAGGATTCCACTGGTTAGTCATTTCTTCTTATTTAGTCCATGGAAATTCCCAAAGCAAGACTAAAATAACCCAAAATCTTAAAATCATTTTCTGAAATAAACATTCCTGGTTCTAAGTAACTCATTTTAGGAGTTGGTAACCATAATGCTTCTATTACTTGGTTACTTTTTATATATTTCCTTAATTTCCTTTTACTTTTTAAAAATTATAGAAATTATTTTAATATCTCTAATCTTCTGTGATTTATATTCTTTACCCATTTTATATTTGTTTTCAGGTGAGATATATCTGTTCTGCTTTGGGGTGTCGCCGATGGGATAGTGATGAATTGGAAGAAGAAGAAGACATCTTGCTTCTGCAACGCACCCAGAAAACTGTTAGAGCTGTTGGACCTCGTAGTGGTAATGAGAAGTGAGTATAGAGAATGTTGATATTGATACTATTTAGAGGTACCCTAAGACCAAAATGTTTCAGATTTTTCTTTGCAGAGATTCTGAGAACTATTTTATTGCCCTAAAGACACACTACAGTTTTAAGAGAAACGTAGGCCCCAAATTAAAAATAGCCTCATAGTTACTAACGAATTCTAAACTGAACTGCTCATCATGTGTTCAGGGTATAGTAGCCAGAAGGAGTCCCATGGGACGATGGTGTCTTAGTTTGGTGTTTTAGGTTAATAATACTTTTCATAGCAACCTCACTGATCAAAGTTTGACTGCAGAAAACTCTTAAGACAGAGTTCATGTGTTTCTTTGAGAGTGGGCCTATTTGGCCTTTAGTTCTGTGTAGTAGGTAGTTTCATAGTTTGTCTCATTATCCTTTATTTTATTTTATTTTTGTAGTGCTGGGAATCAAACCCAGGGCCTTGCACATGCGAGGCAAGTGTACTACTACCACTGAGCTGCATCCCCAACCTCCAATTTTAGAATAACCACTTTACTTCCTTTATTCAAGTCATTTGTTTGGTCTAATACCTTTTTGTTTCTTTAGATAATGAACACTTTATGCAATTTATACATTTAAATATGTGATTAAAACATAAGATATGCTGATCCTCTATTGTGTACCAAATTTTTTCATCCTAATATTTGTCTGTGTAGTAAAAATAACCTTAGATTTCATCTTTATCTTTTGAAAGTGAACCAGACTTTCAGATTTTGTCCATTCTGATGCAATATAATTCACTTGTCTTTCCTGAAAACTGTTTTCTCAAACCCAGTTAAGAATGTATTATTTGCTCTTTCTTCTTTTGCTAGACTATGAATAAGGCCTGACCTTCTTTACCCTGATGGGATTTTGTTTCCTTGAGTTTTGAGTACTCAGTGGGAGCACAGCCACTGTAGGAGCAAAAGTACAACTTAACAGAATTTTTAGTTACCAGAATAGGAAGAGGGTGCGGTTCTAAGATCCATGTTCCTTAAATATATATATATTTTTCATTAGGCTGAGAATTCTTAGCTAGGTCATTTTATGTCTAACTGATAAGACATTATACTATCAATAGTTAAGTGACTTTTCAATTTACTAACTATAGAGGAATCATTATGTCACTTTATGGATAAGGACTAAAACTTCTGTTGGTTAGTAGAGATCTATCACTGGAGCTATGGTGATTGACAGGAGGTTGCCTCTTTGATGCCAGATTTTCATATGAATCTAAAATTCATTCATTTTGCCTTTTACATTGGTTAATTGGTTAATTGAAATTTATGGGTTAATTGAGATTTATTGACTTCTCTGCACTTGAATAAAATGTGCCCACGTGATTAAGAGGTAAGGCAGACTGCATGCCACCTCATTTTAAGGTGACTGTGTTTTAAGAAAATCACTCTGATTTGTAAGTGTGAATGTTTGTTAATTTTTGAGGAAAAAAAAAATCTATTCCTTAGCTTTTATAGGTCCACAACTCTCAGAACCTTTTTTTTTTTTTTAAAAGGGTCAGCACACAGTTCTCACAAGCCCTCTTGTGGCCTGGATCGGCAGAGTGCTCCTTTTCAGAAAGTTATGTTGACTTGTTCTATTTCTCATCATAAAATTTTAGTATTTACTTCTTCAGGTCTAGATGAATTCTGTGTTATTTGACCCCTTTATGTAAATGTTAATTTCTAAAACACACCTTTGTAAATTTAAGGTGGAATTTCAGTGTTGGCCACTTTGAACTTCGGTATATTCCAGACATCGAAACTAGAGCCGGATTTATTGAAAGCACCTTTAAACCCAGTGGAAACAAAGAAGAGTCTAAAATTATTTCAGATGTGGAAGAACAGGAGGCTGCTACACTGGACACAGTGATAATAAAGGTCTCAGTTGCTGATTGGAAGGTTATGGCATTTAATAAGAAAGGAGGACATATGGAATGGGAGTACCAGGTACCTAAAACCACTGAGAATTCATAAATGTTTCCTCCTCTCCCAGTTTGACCACATTTATTGGAAGAGGGTAAAAACTGCCATTTTGGATTCTCAATTTATTCTCTATGCTTTAAGAAATTTGTGATTTTAAGTGGCATTCTATTAATTGAAACTGCTTGAGTTACTTAAAATTTGTTTTCCATTTTTGTTTAGTTTTGTACTCCAATTGCATCCGCCTGGTTGGTTAGGGATGGCAAAATCATTCCCATCAGTCTTTTTGATGATACAAGTTACACATCTAATGAAGAAGTTTTAGAAGATGAAGAAGACATTGTAGAAGCTGCTCGAGGAGCCACAGAGAACAGTGTGTACTTGGGTGAGTAGATGGTTCTTACCTGGTGGTAGTACCCACTGACATCTAGATGGTATTCTTGCATTGTTTCTTCCTACTTCAGGAACGCTTGTCATAGTTTTAATTCCTAAATTCATTCTTTGATTTAGGTTGCCCTTAAGATTTTACCTTGATAGCCATTCCTGCTATTTTTCCATTTGTCCTGTTCTAAAATTTAATTACTTACAGTGTACTCTTTTCATCTGAGAACTATATTAGAAAGGTGTATTGTTCTTATTGTATAGCATGATATACATATCCTCAGAGTCTACAACTGTCTATATTTGTATTTTCATTTCTATTTGTGTTCAGTTTGCCCCCCACCCCATCACCTCCTTAAAGATTAAAGTTTGTCGGTTTGCTTTCAGTACATCTATACAAATGATCTGAAAAAAAGGAATAAAATTCTGTGTGTTTCTGAGCAATTAAAGAAGCCTTTAATATAATAAACTTTGAAGACTCTTGAACCTATTTGGATTAGTTTGGGTCATTAAGTACTCATAAAATTATATAAGCTTTATCAATGTGTATACCCACACCTCAACTCAAACTCCATGAAAGGCAAGAGTTGGAAGGAATGAATGTCATATACACGTTATGATAGTATTTGACTGAATTGTTAGCCAGAGCTCTGGAATTATAGATGTTTAAACTTTCTTTAAGTAGAAGATTACTTCATCTAAGCTGTTGGTTTCATGACAGTACAATGACTTTCTATTTTTTAAATTTTTACATTGGAACAGTTTTCCTTTGAATAAGTGAGAAACACTGAATGAGCTTTCTGGGTGTACTTCTTTGTTACTGAGTATCTGTTGAGTCAAATTTGAGTACTTCAGGCCCTCAGATTTCTTCTTTGAAAAGAGCTATGTAGCACACAAAGAAATAAGTAGAATTAATCTGATTGTATTAAATCAAAGTTAACTTTTTAAAAATATCATTACATGATTGACATTATTCTCGTTGATTCAGGGATGTATAGAGGCCAGCTGTATCTGCAGTCATCAGTCAGAATTTCAGAAAAGTTTCCTACGAGTCCCAAAGCCTTGGAATCTGTCAATAATGAAAATGCAATTATTCCTTTGCCAACAATCAAATGGAAGCCCTTAATTCGTAAGTGAATGATAAACTTTATAAATACTGTTAAAATGTTCAGAGACCTGTCTATGCCCTTGTTTTGAATATTGTAGACATAAGAACTATTATACCCTTTGTATTCTACCAATAAACTGGAAAGGCATTATAGATGTTAGTAATGATTTTATTGTCATTTAGACTATTTCTTCTTGAAAGCAATAGTTGCTTCTATAGAAATAAATGTCAATACACTCAGTACAATTTAGAAAAACTCTTATTCACTACCACACCAAAATAAAATTTAGTGCTTACCTATTTGTATTAAGAATATTTGCATAAAAAATTACCTGTTTATCAAATCATCATATTCTTTAAGAAATATAAATGAATTGAATTCAAATACTAGGCTACTTCTACCTCTTTAAAATTATCTTTCCATATCTTTTGTTTGTTTTTTACTGTACGTGTCTCATTATATTTTAATTGCTTCTTTAAATGACTCATATTCTGAATTTGTTTGTTGTTGTTTTGAGGCCAGGTCTCACTAAGTTGCCCAGGCTGGTTGGTCTCCAACTCCTGAGCTCAAGTGATTCTCCCACCTCAGCCTCCTGAGTACTGGGACTGTAGGTGTGTGCCACCACACCATGCTCAGCTTTGTATTCTGTATAATACTGTGTACTTTGCACTGGAGGAACCTTGAGCCATTTGTTTGACATAACATCCTTCAACTGTGGTTAAATATCAGTTTATTCAATGAATGAGCACATGCATTTTCATTAAAATCATAACAATTAACATTTTATCATTTTCTTTTAGATTCTCCTTCCAGAACTCCTGTCTTGGTAGGATCTGATGAATTTGACAAATGTCTTAGTAATGATAAGTTTTCTCATGAAGAATATAGTAATGGTGCACTTTCAATCTTACAATATCCATATGGTAAGTGTAATTATTCTGGATTGAAAATACTGAGTTTTATTTGCCTCATTCAATTATATGAAATTAATTAAGAGCATTCAAATGGAGAGAGGTTAGTTGGTGCATAGAAAAATATTTTGGGAGGCAATATTAAATGTAGTGACAAACATGCTAGCTCCAAAGTCAGTTTGCCAGGGTTCAACCCCAGTTTTGCCATGTGCTAAGTTGGGAACACCTAACTTCCCTGTGTCTCGGTTTCTTTATCTATAAAATGATAATAATAAAAATAACAAGAAGAAAAAGAAAATAATAAAATAACACTAATATTATTATTCATTGGATTCTTATGAATTCTAAGTGAGAAAATGCATATAATGTCTCAGTTAGCACATCATAAATGTCAATAAACATTTCTTGCTATTAGTTCTCATTTAATTATTAGCCTATATGATGCATGTTATTATCTATGACTACATCGTAGTCTATATAATAAGAAAAACAGGTATTTCCCATAAATCGACATGAAAATGCTATAAATGAGGCTATTTTAACTTTATCCTCAGATAAATTAGTGCAAAAGTTAAAAATAGGTGTAATTTACCATGAAATACATTGCTGTGTAGTAAGCAGCAATTTTTTGAAATTGTGATATAGTCACATGTGAAAGTCTCTTGAACAGTTAATTGTTTAAAAAATGCTCAAGATTGTGAATTCAAGGCCAGCATTGGCTATATAGTGAGAGCCTGTCTCAAAAAAACCCAAAACAAACAAACAAAAAATTCTCAGATCTGCCATCAGATAAAAATACAGACTCATCAGTTATCCTAGATGCTAGAACTAGAAAATTATATGTAATATAAATTGATTTTAAAAAAAAAAAGAGGCTCTAACTAGAAACATCAGCCTTTATCTGAAATTGATCAAAAGACAAGGTAAGAGAGAATTGTTTAGTGTATCTAAGTGTAGTACAAAGTAGAAGACAAAAAAAGGTGGTTTTTAAGACGAACTGAATTTTGACAGCTTAACATGATGGGGATGTGTTTCCTATAGATGTAAAGAAAGTGTTATAGTAAAATTTGGTATTTTATTGATCTCAAGTGAAAAGAAAACTTAGAACATCTTGAAGGAAGCTTGAGTACTTGTTTTTATACTTAAAGAATTGAATTATGGGGTGAGATGTGGTGGTACACATCTGTAATCTCAACTGTTCAGGAGACAGAGGTAGAGGATCGCAGTAATAGGCAAGCCCAGGCAAAAGTTTGTGAGACCCCATTTGAAAAATAAACTAAAAAGCAAAAGGACTGGGACATGGCTCAAGGCCCTGAGTTCAGTCCCCACTAGTGACACACACACACACACACACACACACACA